CATTTCTTGAGTGTGAGAAAGAGGACAATTTTACTTTGGCACTAGAGGTGTGTCGGTCACTTTTGAAGGATCAAGGTGAGATGCCTAAAGCGATTAATTTCGACCACGATACTGCATTGATGAAGGTTGTTGGGGTATTTCATTCTTCTTATGCATTACTTTGTAAGTATCACATAACAAAGAATGCGAGAAGTCGGGTAAAATCTGCGGTAGGGACGAAACCAATAGAGTCTGAAGGTGGAAAATTGGTGAAGGAATGTGTGATTGTCAAAAAAATAATGGATGCATCGAATCGTATACTAAATTCTTCTAACAAAAGAATTATATGTCAATTCTGTTATTCATTTTCGGAAAGTGTGTGAAAAGTATCATGCTTTGTTGAAATATGTTGAAAGCACAATTTTTGATCAGGTGAAAGAGAAGATAGTTTGCGAGTGGATTGATAATGTCAAACACCTTGGAAATACAACTACCAACAGAGTTGAGTCGGCCCATGCTATATATCCAAAATCAATATGACAATCAATGAGTGATCCATATTGAACTACGTCTTCTATAAATTTAGGTGTTCTTGTGTTATATTTCACAAAAACTCAAAATGTCTTAAATGTCACAAATAAACATCCATTGGTATGTCCCAAATGTCTCATACTGCGACAACTCTACATCCGGGAGGACGTTTAAACTGATCTCACCTCACTCGAAGATATCATAGACGAAATCCAATATCTTCTACTTTACAGAGACAAACGAAGAGTTGTGAAACTTGAGTATCGTTCACCTTCAGTTGACAACAAAGAAAACACTGTGTTCAACAAATTTGAGCTTAAAACTCGAGCGGATGTTAGGGCTATGTGATATACTTATTTCAGTTTCGAAGAGAAAGTTCCGCTCGCGTTGAAAGCGACAATACAAAGACCGGTTAAAAATATCCTAAAGATGTGCAAGCGTCTATCGGGATATTGAAATGTAATATTTAATTTTATGTTAAAATCATCATTGTAATGATCATTTTATGTTATGAATGTCAATTTCATTTTGGAAAATTCATTTTCTGTTGAATCTGTTTCTGGTGTTTTTGCGAAAATGTAACTACGGTATAGTTCCGGAGATGCATCTCCGGAACAAATTAAACCCAATATACATGACACCTCTCAAAATGACATTTGTTGAGTCTGCAAAGGATGCGTTTGGAGATATATCTTTGAAAACATAAGTATTAGTAGAATTTCGCACGGTGTGGTAGAAACATATATGGTGCAACAAGAAATTCTCTCAGTTAAGATCACCACGTCATATCTACTAATTTGGCCCAAAGCCTAGATAATTTGAGGAGCTATCTGACTCAAAAGGGCGTGAAGACTGATTTATGCTGGTGATGAATCCAAATTAAGGTTCGATTCTACAGACCGACCTAATGTGAGGTTTGTTGAGGGTTCCTTGTCTAGGAGAGAAAAGTCAGTGTCTTCATCAACAATAATAAAAAAAATGTGACTTACAACGATGGTTAGACGAGTAGCGCTCAACACAGTTACAACAAACATCCCACTTCCGTCTGGATGTCATCTACGTCATTGTGAGACATTTGAATGTTATTCGTAGTGGAGTCAGAAAGAGCGATAAGTTAGAAACTGATACAAATTTGGATGGTGGTTGTTGAATACATAGGCGTAAAGATCAGCAGGTATCCATAAACTTTTCTTCTTAAGTTTGGTTAACGTGTCCGCGTGTGAAAATGAGATAATTGAATAGTTTGAACCTCAAGTCGAATCTCGAGGAAGAGTCATAACATAAAGCAACTAAACAAAAAATGTGGTGGAAGTCCCAACAACTCAACAAGAAATGTGGTGGAAGTCTCACGATTCGGTTGGCCAAGCTTTTGAATTTTGTGAGGTAAGAACTAACACATTCACGTTGAATGAGTTTGAACACATTCACGTTGAATGAGTTTGAACAATGCACCACTTGGGTGGTCATAGAGTGACAGTACAAATCATAGCTTTGGAGCGATCTTAACTCAACCAATCCTAGAGAATCGGGTCGTCAAGCTCTCTTAGCCCAATCAATTTCCATTGTGTGTGGTAGTAAAAGAATTAGGTAGACGGAATTTTCATTCTTATGAGGGGTTTGGATTCAAAGAGCTCCAGGAGGTGCGTAATGCGCATGTGCCGAAATCTTAGTGCATAGAATTGGTTTCTAGTGCGGCCAATTTAGAGTGGACTTTGTCAAGTTTATTGGTGAAGACGGATTTTTGGCTTTGGATGGCAGGCACGGCTTCCTCGGGGCATTCAACCTGAGAGGAGCAAATTGTTGTCATGTTGAGGTCAAAAGAGAGCAATAAAACACCATATTGATAGATTTAAGATCCTGTATTCGAGGATCGTATCTCCAAAATGTAAATGAAGAAAATAGTTTATTATTAATGATAAACGTACACAATATGTAGCAATATACACTTAACAGAATACTCATACTTGGTCAGTGGCAACATGACAACACATAGATGTAAATAACACAATTAATAAAAGATAACATATTCCTTCGGTGGACATAGTGGTCCCATCCCAGTGGCCTTGAAACGTTTCTTTTGGGCTTCCCGTGTGTTGGGTTGTTAGGCCCAATTGGTTCATTGGTTGGTAATGTAAAGTTGCTATCAGCTAGAGTGTGGTGCAGCATAATTCATCTAAATTATATGGTCTTCACCTGAATTGTGCTGTTGAGTACCAATTATTTGCAATCCGGCTACCTAAAAGGAACCAATGGTACGCATGAGTAACAAATGAAGTAAATTGAAAAAGTAGAGAACATAACACACCAAAAACTAAATCCTAACTCATCCACTAATAAAAACTACAAATAAATATGCAGGTTAACTCATCCACTAATAAAAACTACAAATAAATATGCAGGTTTACAAATACGTGCAACTGCAAACAACAAAAAATTTAGAACCATGCAAATTAGCAAGAAGCCATTCAACATAGTGCAGTTAAAAAAGCATCAGTCTTGTAATTACCTCTTAGTAACAAATAGCCTTTTCCTACAATCGACTCTTTGTTACGTCCAATTGGCCAACGCTGGGCAGTGGTACATATGATAGTTTACTGTCATTTCTTACATTATCTCCATGTAGTGAAGCATCATTTCTTCCAATTGTTCCTTCTAAACAATATAAAATGGTTATGACTACTGGGATCAATGCAAATATGAATAAATTAAATATTTTCTTAGACAGAAACAAAGCATGGAGCATGAAGCACAGCCAAATCCATAACTTCCATTCCTCATTAAGTTGAGAGAATAAGAAAAAGGATACAACAAAATGATTGCTTTAAAATTTGAATGAGCAAATTCCATAATGTTTGACACAATTATATATGGTTATATTTCTTGAAAAAAGAATAATTCATAGTAGGTACTACTAGCATCTATACATTCCAACGGGACTAACTGTCATCGTTTAGGCGGTGCCAGACAAATGAAGTGAAAGCTAACATAATGATGGTTTGATGTAAAGGTTTAAGTAAAAGAAAAAGAAACTTACATATTCGGGTGCATGGTTAATGCACTTCTTTCTTTTCCTCTTTTAAGGAATAAGCACACTTTGCCCCCAAAACTTGTTTTTGAATATGATTGTGCTTATGAGAGTGTCCTCTCTGCTGTTTTGCTCATGGTTGCTTCAGTGATGTTACCTCTCCTGCCCTGACATGCAGAGACGTGCCAGCCTGACGGTATTTTGAACATTTCATGTTAGTCTCCGTCCAAATTGTATTTTCCCTCTCATTTGCACTACAGCGTTCTTTTTCTGTAAAAATAAAATAAAAATTCATGAAAATTTCATTAGAAATCATTTTATTTTCTCACACACTTTCACGAGGTCAAACATCAAATATTTCAGGGACAGCCAAAACCTTTTAATTCATCAGCATATGGTATATATATGTTTTTGGTTAGGAAATTGTTCCAGAAGCTGAAAACTCGGAAATAATTGAACAGGTAGGTTCATCTTAACTTGTTATACCATGTGGCGCTCATATGTGTATTTAGAGTGAAGCTTACTGAAAATGCATTTGTAGTTCTATATGGTTAGGTTCAGTATCAATTATCAAATAAGCTATCTATTCTAAAGGTTGGTCAAAGCATTCTCATTAATAGTTTTGCCACTTCTAAAGTGAACAACTCACTTTATAGAGTAAAGTGAGTGATTTCAAACTATTGATGAGCAAACTAATGGTTGATATTATATGCACATACATATCAAATCATGGGTAGCTGAAATATCAACCATTGATTTTCTCACTTTACCAACTATTCACTATAGAGGAGTAAAATCTCATTAATACTAATACAAACTAGAACATACTTCTATACACACTGCATGTAATTTGTCACTATATATCAACTTTGGAAATAAAATAAAATTGGTTGCATTTGCTCCTGGCCAAACTCCGGATTACCAAGGCCTACATTCCCATGAGTCGGAATTACAAAGTTCATACTTGGCATAAAGAAATTTCCGAAACCAAAAAGACAAGATGACAGAGGAAGGAAGATTAGAAAAGATGAAAACTAAAACTTGAAGCTTATAATACTACTAGTTTGTGTTATATATGGTTCCTTTTACTATAAGATCAATTATACGGTTGTTCAACCTTCCTATATGCAATTTATCCAGAATCAACCAACTAGTAAATTCAACAGTTCTAAACATAATACACAAATCTAGAAAAACGTTTCCAACCAAAAATCCGCTTCATAAGTTTTAGGGTACACAGTTATCAAGTAGACTGAGACAGATGCAATCATCTCAATGAAAATAAATGATGTTCTGATAAAATATCAACACTGACCTGGAGAGTTCATTAGCCATATGTGCCACAATCTGAGAACATCTGGCATTTGAATGAGAAGTCGGAATTCTAGAAAAATTGCGACTACCAGGAAAACATGGACTTCTTTCCCAGAACATCAAACTCAAAGTCATAAGCCTGAGAGGGGCTTTAGCCACAATTACTATCCTGTTTACTTTCCAGCCAGTCTTGATAAAAGTTAAATGCCTTGATTGGTTCCCCCAATTTGCAGTACATATTAAAGAGAATCTGAACTGGAACATGATCATTCAATAAACCAGATTTCAGTATTCTAGCATAAAGCTCTTCTGCATCTTTAATGTTACCTCTAATACAAAACCCCCTAATAAATTCAGTATAAGTTATTAAATCGGGTTCACACCCCTTCTGCATCATCTCATCATATAGTTGACGAGCTAAACCGATATCACGTATATTACAAGCACCACCTATCAACAAGTTATACGTAACCACATCAGGACGAAGACCTTTTGTAGGCATCTCTTCCTTCAGATATCGAGCATCATGGATATTTCCACTCTTCAATTGTGCAAGGATTAAAGCATTATAAGTAAATACATTGGGGAGAACACCAAAAGCCAACATCAGATCTCTTGTAAAAAAAGCATTTCTAAGATCTTCGCATCTTCCATAAAAGTCAATTATTAGGTTCCATACAATAGGCTTGGGCACCATAAAATTATTTAACATACACAAAAGCAAGTCTTTTGCTCTCACAATGTCTCCATTCAAACAAAGGCCTTGAATCATAATCCTGTATGAAATTTGATCAGGCATAATTCCCATTTTAGACATAACTCCAAGAATATAGCCAGCTTCACTAATTTCCCCCTCCTTGCAAAGAGCACCAATAAGAATATTATAAGTAAAAACATCAGGAGTGAAACCATTCTTAAGCATCTCACATGCATATCCATATGCAAGATTCCCCTGCTGATTCAGGCAGAGTCCATTGATAAGAACATTATAAGCAACAACATCTACTCTTGTACACTTTTGAATCATTTCATTCCAAAGACCAAGAGCCCGGTTAATTTCCCCATTCTTAAAGTACTTATCCATAAAAATAGTTGAGGCAACTAAATCAAGTATAACTTTGCCATTATCATCATTTAGTATTTCTTCAAGCATCTTTCTAGCTTTCGTTAGAAGACCTTTCTCACACAACGCATGTACAAGAATGTTACAAGTAACCCTGTTTGGCTGAATACCAGTATAGGACATAGTTGTGAACAGATCCAAAGCTTTTTTTATACTATTTACAGCACAATAGCCCTTAATTAGAGTGTTGTAAGTGGCGCAGTTGGGATGAGGACCAGAGTCAGACATCTCTCTAACAAGCCAACCTGCCTTCTCTAAAAGACCAAATTTGCATAGCCCATTTACAATATGGTTGTGGGTATACACGTCAGGAAGAATACCTGTTTGAGCCATTCTTCTCCGAAGCCTCAGGGCAGCTACCAATTTCCCTTCCAAGCACAAAAATCTAATGGTGGCCGCATTTTTAGCATTGTTACATTCACGTGCATATCCCTGAAGACCTATCTTTACCAAAGATATATTTTCCCTGCAATATTCATGTAATAACCAAAAGTGTCATTCGGTTCAGAATCTGTAACATCTTTCTTCTGAAAATGCTGATGACATCAAAGCTAACCTCATGATCTTCAGACGTTCTAGACTAGATATTAGCATAGTATCCAACACATTGAAAACAGCATGTTGGCCCTTCTTTTCACCACCAAAATTCTTGTCATGCAACGAACAATCTTGAGCATTTAGTTGGCATTTTCTCTCAAAACTGTCTTCACGTAAAATCCTACAACCAACCATTAAGAAGCACAAAATTAACAACACAACAACATAAAGCAAATCTAAGATTGAATCTCAGAAAAGGTGTGTTTAGAGTCACGGTAAATTTGATAAAATCAAATTTTATTTTCATTCCAAAGTTGGACTAAAAGTGATAAAAGAAGCTTCTGAATTAAGTCGAAAAATCTACACCAATTTCAAGTCCAACTTTCTTTTGGAATAAAAAAGTCAAAACATACTATAACAAAATCAATTTTAACAAAACAAAAAATAATTGATCAAATTTGTCAAGCGATCAAACTGACAACAACTTAGGCCCTATTTGAATAAACGACTTACTTAAACATTTATATCATAAACACTTATCACATAAGTGCTTATGTATAATCTATTTCTATAACAAAAGATGAGAAAATCAAATTGTTTTCAATATAACCTATAAACTGTTTTCATAAGCTATTTCTATAAGTGCTTATGAAACTGATCTAAAAACAATTTAAGGAAATGTCATAAGCTGTTTTTGTTAAGCCCAACCAAATAGTCACAAAAGTGTTTATTCCACTGCATAGACTCAAATGAGTTACAGTATTATAAAACTAGGAACATAAATAACTTAAATCAAGTTGAAACTCAATTATACCCAAATCAAGTTCATTGATAATCACATTGCCATGAATTTGGGGCAGCTTAATAAAAAACGTGCATGAGTGAATTGAAGAAACTACCTGACATGTTTGACATCTTCATCCTGGGAGCAGAAAATGTGAGCAAATCGTTGGTTGATGGATTGAATAGTCCGATTCAAATATCTTAGAAAAGTGATATGCGTTGTCATTGCCGTCGGCAACAAATGCTGTTCCCCACAAGCAACAAATAAAATTGCACTCGTTGCCATTCACTCACCTTGCTCTCAAATTGTTACTCTCTCATACAGAATTTGAAATCATCTGAAAATAAAATAACAAAATAACAATAATAACGATGACTCTAACATTAGATTCGTACATTTATGGCGCAAATTGAAAAGAAGAGAAAATGAAGAAAGGCGAAGAAACCTGTTTGAGGGAATGCATTCATTGATTGGAAGCGAGCAAGAGGGAGTGGCGAGGATGACGACGCAGGAAGTGGATTGTGGTGATGGCTAGGGTTTGCAGTAACTAGTTTCTGCGCTTTTAGAGTTTAGATTTGATTTTGGATTGAACTTTGCTTTGCCTGAGTTTTGGTTTTTGTTTTCGATCGATCCCAGCAAGCGTAGCGTAGTAAGGAGATTCCGATGAGGTTGGAATCAATCTTCGGTGCGGCGTTAGTAAAGAGTGCAGCAGTGTAGTGTGACTAAAGGGCCTTTACTAATGTGGGCCTTTTATTTGGGCTTTACTAATGTGGGCCTTTTATTTGGGCTTTTGCTTTTCTATTTTGGGATACTATTTACACCCGTTTTATACAATCCAACTCCATATCATATATAATAGGAAATGTTGTCATCGTTTGATTATTTGGATTGAATAACATGGAAAACACATAATAATGATTTTATATATCATTCATTTAGTTTAAATTTAGATATACTATCCAATTTCAAATGCATGAACTTCAACGTGCTCATATATTGGTTTCTCTTAGGATAAACTTTTAATGCGTCATCGCAATGATATAAACAAGATTATATCAACTGAGATTTTAAAACAAAATACAATTTCTCATTTGTTCATAATTGTTGGTTCACTACTTATGATTCATAGTTCATGTAATTCTCAATAAAAAGTTATTATATGTGCAGAACAATAAGTGTACCAAACATTTTTAAAAAAAAATTGTTGATAGAATTATTATTGATGATGTAAATGGATATCCGAGGTAATTATTTTCTATTTAAAAAAGAGATATGTTTTTGTAGATCATAGATTTGTGGACCCATATAATTGAAAATTGTTGTTGAAGTACAATGCTTATGTTAATGTTGAGTGGTGTAATATTTCTATCGAAGATTTTTTAAATATGTCAACAAATTGCATGATTGTGTTACCGTGGGTTTTTATAACTATGGTAATGAAATGGATACTTTTGAGTGTTTTGATGAAATGAAAATATACTACGATGCTATTAGTTATTTGTTAACTTGTGAATTTGCATGGAGAATATTTTCTTTTAATATATATTACAGGAATCTTAAAAGACAAAACTTTCATTTTGAATATGAATAACTTGTTATATTTGAAGACAATAAACACATTTATGATGTTATCAAAAAGTCATTTATTTACAAAACTTTCATTTTGAATATGAACAACTTGTTATATTTGAAGACAATAAACACATTTATGATGTTATCAAAAAGTCATTTATTTACAAACGGGGAATTGTATTGTACATGTGTTTGTGATATTTTGAGATACATGGAGAATTGTATTGTATATATGTTTATAGATGAATTTCGATAAAATTCTAATTTTTCTCACTTTTTTACTTTTCTGACATTTTGCGGTATTTGGGAAAAAGAAACCAAAAGAGTTACACATTTGCATTATAAATTACATTGTTGTTGTTGCTGTGTAAGAATGATTTATGTATTTTTATAATCGTCCTACTGTTTACTTTCACCGTCAACATTTGTAAGGATTATTCTCACCCTGTTATTCTCTTTGTGCATGGCTTTTATGTCCATGTTGCATATACATGTAGCATGTGGTGTTGTTGTGTCGATGAATGGTGGTCATTGTCTTCTTTTTTGTTTTTCTCGTTTGGTCTAGTACCTTTTGTGTCACTCTAGTATTGTAACACAGGGGATGAGACGTAATTTCTTTTATTTGGAGAATTACAATGTTCATTTTAAAAAATGATGATATTTGAGTAATTTTATTTGATGAGACTATGTGATGGAGTTGTTGAATGTTTTATTTTTTTTCTCTGCATGTCATTTAATTTAATAACAGGTGTTTTGTTTGAGAATGTGTGACACCCTTGGGTGAAAATATACTTTGAATTATTGTATTATTTTGTGAGTCGATAAATAGGGTGTTACATGTGGCGCACAACTTTATTGCCCTCTCCCTTGGATGTTTATTTTGCTTTGTTATGTGTGGGGTTTCCCATGTCATATCACCCTCATGAGTTGGACTTATCTGGCCTCAGGGAAGAGTCGCCATTTACATATTCCTTTAGGTGTCCCTCCTAGATTAGTATTTCAATTTCTTTCTTGATTGGTAACAATCTTCAGTATGGTGTCCCTTGACTCTGTGGAACTTGAACTATATTTCTAGTTTAGGACTCATTACATTTGCCTTCGAAGTAGGCGTTGTAGGTATGTTATGCAGGTGAAAACCCTCTAGCCATATTTGTTCCATTGGGTGTTCATGGGCGTAAAGTTATAAATTGTCTTGCCTACTCTTTCGAATACAGTCTTGTCTAATATGGAAGAGTTATAACTACTCTTACTCTGGTGGTATAAACCCTCGATATTGGGGAACACGCTCCTTGACATCACAACCTTTAGATAATATTCTCTGGTAACCACTTCTGCCAAAGAAAATAATGACTTCTAAGTAAGAGACTTGTTGAAGTGCCCCGCCTTGAGTCCATTTTGGAACGCCCCTTTAAACATTTCCTGGCTTGGTGGGACAACCCTGATGGTAGCCTCGTTAAACTGGGTGAGGTAATCCCTCAGTGACTCCGATGGACCCTGACATATGCTTAATAGGCTGGTGGTGGACATTTTCTTGTGACGACTTATAGCGAGCTGGTGTACGAATTTCCGCACCAGCTTCTGATAGTTGGAGATGGAGGCACGAGGTATAACTATATACCATCGTAGGGCAACGTCCCTGAAAGTTCCTGACAATAATTTTCCCTTTATGGACTCAAGCGCTCCTACGATGACCATATATGTGTTAATGCATGCGACATGTTCATATAGGCCAAAAAGGGAACTTTGAGTCCTTAATGGGCAGGCACTCACCATATTTCACCTGAGAGTGGTTGATGATTCAACACCTCTATCTTCTTCAGATGATTGGACTCCTATTGGCATTGTCTATTGTTGTGGTGTCTAATTATGATGATGTAATTCGTCCATCGTGGATCGCATTTCCACCAGGGAGTCGGCATCATCACTGCTGCTGGTACCTTATGGTGTAGAATATGACACCCCTCGGCATCATCACTGCTGCTGGTACCTTATGGTGTAGAATATGACACCCCTCCTGTTAACCGTGGCTGAAAATTGCTAAGTGTAAAACAGGAGGGTAACAGTGAGTAGGATGTTGGTGATTAAAAACGTTTGGCCCGAGTTAGTTTATTAGGGTCCTATGGTGGATGCCACTGTACTGGTCAAAAAATATAAGTGTGCATGTCACCCCTGCGACGGACATGAATACTCAGAAGCTTTAGTAGGTATATTACGTTATATGGTGATTAGGATTTTCCACGACAGTGAGAAATCTTGTATGGTGGTGTTTTTGGTAGTTTAAGAGAACCCGCTCACGCGAGGTGAGAGGTGAGGTGTGAAGCATTGTGGTTTGGATAATATGTGTCTCAATTGGGGTTTTCTTCTCCCATTTATAGATGTTTTTTTAGCCTAGGGTTTTAGAAACCCTTAAGGGTGACAACCGTTCCCTCGTGACTATAGGAGGTTGTTTACTACCTATTTTTCACAGAATCGTGGAAAACTCTATCTCCGCTAACTAATAGAGGGCAACAATATTATACATGTCATCAGTTCTATCGTGAGCCTCCTTTTCTGTCTAGATATCGCCCTTGTTTAAGACTCTCACAATTATAAAACTGCACTAATTAAATACTAATGATGCATAAGCATTATTTTAAAGTTGTTGATCTAACTTTTAAAGACATTTGAACATTCCTTTTGGTGAAAATTTTGTAATTTTTTTTTATGGGTGGGTTGAGGCTTAAAACAAGATTTGCTTATTATACTTAAGGGAACTAGACAAAAAGTTGTGCATACTACCATTAATTCATCATATTTATGAAATATAAGGATTTTAAATGGTGCTTTAAGTTCATATTACGAGGAAAGGAAACCTTTTTTAAGTGGGTTTGGAATATTGGTGATGCTACAATTGAAGAAAACAATGACGTGGATATCACACTTGAAATCCCATATGTTTTTCTTATTCCAATTTGCAGCAATCCTTTTTTATCTATTGTTTAGAGCACACACACAACTCTTTTAGATAACATGAATGATATATCGATTTTTTTAAACATATCTTTATTAGCTCCAAATAATTTTATTGTTGAGATGATTAATGATTATATGTTGGATTTATTTTCTGGCATAGAAAAAAAAAACATATTTGAACTATGATAATCTTTACTCAACTAATACATAGAGTGATTAAGTTAATAATGTTCACACTCCAAAGTTTTTGAACATAATTAATAATTTGGAACTTCAAATCACAATTTAAAATTTAAAGTGAGAATATTAGTATTATTATTAAGAATATATATATAGTAGTGATAAGTGATAAGGAATGTGCAACAACATTCAAATGATAATTACAAAGATGAAAAAATATATTATTAAGGGAATGTGATATCATGGAGTAATGTAACTTATAAAGTTTATATACCCAAATTATATTATATAAAAATTCCTTTCAAATTTTAATGGAGACAATTTACATGGTTGTTTCGTTTGCAATGATTATTAATAAAAATTATGAGCAATTATTTAAGCATATTAGAATATATCTTCTGCACGATTAATTATCAGTCTTCTGCACAATTAATTAAGAGTGACTTAAATTGATGATTGAATATATTGATAACTGATGAGGATGGTGAATATACTAATGTCACTTCAAATGTTATGTAGAAACATTTTGAAATTTGTGACATAAATAATATTTATATTTATTTATCAAAATTTCCTACTTT